CGCTCTGCGGGAGAAAGATGAGGCTTTCTACTCCCGTAAGGATTTGCACCCTCGGAAACCCTGTACAGGGTCGCTATGGGTCGTTACTGACTCGAAGGCACTTAACAACAACAAAAAAAAACAATGTAAATTTGAATAATAGTGGTATTAACTGGTCTTCCTTGTAGACACATGGCTATTATCCTATCACAGACAGCATTACACTTCAAGATAGATGTTGATATGTTCTTTTTGATGATGAATGTAACACCATTCCTATTGAATTTTTCATTTGTGGTATAGTAAACCATGTGATTGCTAGATTAAAAATGGCCAATACCAGTCCATTTAAGCTCACTAATACCAGGGATATCAATCTTTATGTGTTCCATTTAATTTTTTACAACTTCCAATCTTCCTAGATTCATAATTCATACAGTCCATGTTCCAATTATTAGTGGATGTGTGAAGCTGTTTATTATCATTTAGAGATATGACCCATCAGCAAATGAAAGTCCCGAAAACTTTACTCCATTCGTGTCAACATATTCAACTTTACTTTGAGGAGGCAGCTCTTCCCTAGTAATAGAGTGTCTTCCAACCTGAGGGGCTCATCTTCCGCCACTATATCTGACAATATTCTGGTGCTATTAATTATGTTTCAGTATTCAATATTCTGGTGTTGTCTCACAGTGTTTGACTACTATTCTTAAGTTTTTCGGTGGCTGAAATTCAGAAGTAGGCCAGCTCTTCTCTTTCCAGGTTTGTCTTAGTCTGTAAACTCAGCTGAAACCTGTCCACCATGAATAACTCGGGTGGCATTCAAAATACTGGTGGCATATTTTCCAGCATCACAGCAACAGGCAAGCTACCACAGTGTTGTAAACTGACAGATCAGTGGTGGTGGACAGACTTCTTGTGTTAAGTGCCATTGAGTCACTTCTGACTCACAGTGAACTTATATAGGGTTTCCAAGGAGCAGCTGGTGAGTTTGAACCACTGACCTTGTGATGAGTATGAGGAACTGAAGGTGGAACTGAAGGTGGCATGATGTGTGTGGGGGCAGTTGATTGAGGGTTCTTCAGAAGGTAAGAAGGAAAGAAATCAAGAACAAAAACTAAGAATTGAACTTTAAAAGTAGGAGGGATGGGAGAGAAAGGTTAAATGGGCTGAGATACAGCAGAGGTGTCATTTTGAGAACTAACGTGCATCTGACTCAAACTGGTATTTTCAGTTGCTTCATATATATGTGACAGCTGGACAGTGAATAAGGAAGACTGAAGAATTATTGATGCATTTGAATTATAGTGTTGGCGAAGAATATTGAATATATGATGAACTGTCAGAAGAACACATAAATCTGTCCTGGAGGAAGTACAGCCAGAATGCTCCTTAGAAGGGAGGATGGTGGGACTTCTTCTTTAGTACTTGAACATAGTGTCAGGAATGACCAGTCCCTGGAGAGGGACATCATGCTTGGTAAAGTAGAGGGAGGGCCAGCGAACAAGATGAAGACCCTCAATGAGGTGGATTAACACAGTTGCTGCAACAATGGGCTCAGATGTAGCAATGATTGTGGGATTGGTGGTGTAGGACTGGGCAGTGTTTCCTTCTGTTGTATATAGGGTTGCTATGTACAACAATTACAATAACAACAGTAGATTAACTGCAAAGGTGAGGCAAGTTTCTGTTCATAGAGAGGTAGTGTTGAGTAGGCACAGGTCTGTTATTTATAAGTGGTGTGGCTTTGGGCAAATTACTTAGTCTTCTTGTTTTGGTTTCTTCATCTGTAAAATGGAGATAATAACAGTACCTACTTTATTGTTAAGGAGCTCTGGTAGCGTAGTGGTTACAAATCGGGCTGCGAACTACAAGGTCAGCAGTTCGAAACTACCAGCTGTTCCGCGGGAGAAAGATGAGGCTTTCTGCTCCCATAAAGATTTATAGCCTCGGAAACCCTGTACAGGGTCGCTATGAGTCGGGACTGACTCCACGGCACATAACAACAACAACTTTATTGTTAGTACTCCAGGTGGTGCAGCAATTAAGTGCTAGACTGCTACCAAAAGGTTGGCTGTTTGAATCCTCCCAGTTCTACTGAAAAAAGACCTAGTCTGCATCTATAAAGATTATAGCTTAGAAAACCCCATGGGACATTTCTACTATGTGTCGTAGGGAGTTTCTGTGAGTCCATCTAACCTAACAACAGCACCTTACATTTGAAGTAATGTATGTAAATTGTTTAAATGATACCTGAAGTATGTTAAGTTTATGTAACTCCATAACATGACTTCATAATATGTGGCTGCCCCCTCCCCAATGGAATGACAAAATACTTACAGTTGGAAAAGAGGTGGGAGCCTGGAAAAGATTGGAGATTAGGATTTATAGTGTTACCCCTTTGTCTGGCTGTGTGATACTACATAGGATCCTCAGCCACATGGGTGTAAGTGCAAAGAAATCAGGAGCTTGGTACCTGAAGTCTGAGTTTTTCTCAGCTGAGTATGACTGTGTAATGGGGCTAAGGGTGGCAGATGTTAAGGGTATATATATAAGACTGATAATGATGATTAATTTTGCACGCTGATGTTGGATGGAAGGAAAATGAAGGTTGTAAGAGCTGGTGGAAACTGGATTGGCTTTTTCAGATAGCAATGCGAAGGAGATGTCTATTGGGATGAATCTTAAGAGATTACCTCTAACAGACTGTGCTAAAAAATTATTTTTAAAATTATTTTTTGTTGTTGAGAATATACTCAACAAAACACACATTGATGTCTATGTGCACAATTCAGTGATATTGATTCCATTCTTCCAGTTGTGCAACAGTCTGTACCCTCCTTTCTTGACGTGTTCCTCCCTCACTAACATAAACTCACGACCCTCTAAGTTTCCTATCTAATCTTTCAAGTTTTATCACATTGGATTGTTTAATTTTTTTAATGATGTTTATTATTTTTGGTAGTTTTTTCCAGAATAGAACGTAAGATTTATGAGGGAAGGGATTTTTATCTCTCTGTGTATATGCATGTATTTTTCATGTATATTTTATGTGTATTCCATGTGTGCTTCTACAATAACGCTTGGCACATAGTTGTTGTTAGTTGCTACTGAGTAGATCCAGACTCTTGGCAATGCCATGTATGTAGAGAACTGTTCTTTAAAGTTTTAAGGCTGTGATTTTCAGAAGCAGCCTGCCACGCCTGTTTTCTGTGGCACCTTTTGGTAGTTTGTTGTTGTTGTTGAGTGCCGTCGAGTCTATTCCAATCCACAGAGACCCTGTATAGGGTTTCCAAGGAGCAGCTGGTGAGTTTGAACCTCCAAATTTTTGACTAGTTTTGGAACTCTTGCTTGTACTACCCAGTGCTTCTTTGGGTACATAATAGGTACTCATTAAATAGCTGTTAAATAAACTGTTGGAAATGCCCTCGTGTTGGTTCCTACTCATATCAGGTTTCCAAGGAGTGGCTGGTGGGTTTGAACTGCCGACCTTTCACTTAGCAGACCAATGCTTATCTTACCAGGACTCCTTAAGTGAACTGCTGTTAAGGGCTGTCAAGTCGATTCCGACTCATAGCGATTCTGCACAGGGTTTCTGAGGCTGTAAATCTTTACGGGAGCAGAAAACCTCATCTTTTTCCAGCGGAACAGCTAGTAGTTTCGAGCTGCTGACCTTAAGGTTTGCAGCCTGATTTGTAACTACTACGCTATCAGAGCTCCTTTTAAATGAACTAAATGAAGTATAATCTAGGCAAGATGATGGTGGAGCTGATAAGCAGTAGTTAGAGTCTGGATCTATTTTGAAAGTAGCTATCACAGCGTGTGCTGACACATTAGCTGGGTATGAGAGAAGGGAAGGAGTTAGGTTAACTCTGAAGTTTTTGGCCTAAGCTGCTGGAAGAAAATTGGTATAATTAGTTGAGAAGGGGAAGACTCTGAGAGGAGTGGGTCTTGGAGTTTGAATACTGAGAGCTCAGATTTGGAGGTCAAGTCTGATATTAAGACATCAAGTAAAGACATCAAATAAAGACTAAGACAGAGATAAGGAAAGGTTTGTTTGGAGATATGAATTTGTGTCATCAGTGTATTGATAGTTTTTAAAGCCATGAGACCAGATGAAACATCAAGAAGGTGAATGTTGGTAGAAAAGAACTTCAAGGACTGAGCTCTGGGACAAAACCTAGAGGGCTCTATGAGAAGACCAGTAAAGGAGACTCAGGAGAGACCTGAGAGATAGGGGGGAAACCAGGAGCAAGTAGGATCCTGGAAGGCAAATGAAAGATGTGACTCAAGAGAGAGAAAAGTGACCAATTGTTTCATATGCTGACAGCTTAAGTAAGGTGAGAACTGAGAACTGACCATTAGATTTAGCAATATGAATGCAATTGTGTAAAAATAAGTTAAAATGGGTGATTTAAAAAATTGATTGTAAAAGGTGACTTCTCCTATACACATTGTGATTCAGAAAAAGAAAAGGCCAAAAAGGTTACTCTTTGTTGCTGATGTTATAAGCACTGCTAGTAGTTGAAGCAGTGATTTTGGTTATTAGAATCCTTTCAGAATTAGCATATCTTAGAACTTTGAGGTACAGAATAAAGTTCTAAGATGGAGAAACTTTCAACTTCATATTAAAAAACAATGATTAGGAGTTTTAAATTATTGATTTATTTCATTTCATTATCAGTTTTCTAGCATGACTTTGAAAGTATTAAGGCAATAGCTTTTTAGTATAATGGTTTAGAATTTAGCTTCTATACAGAAGTTCCATTCACTGGGTATTTTTATTTTGCTGTTATCTTTGATTATCAATGTTTAGAATTTATGTTACCCTTAGAAATTCCCAGTCAGTATCTTTTAAAAAGTATAAGGTAGATTGAGAATACTTCATGAACAGTCAAATTTACAGATATTTTTCCATTTAAACTATTTAAAGAAATTAATTTTGCAAATTATTAATGATACAGTTTTATCCTGAAACATTTTCCTTGATGAAAATTATTACCCATCTTAATGTTGTTTAGGAAAATTCTTACCTCTGAAGACAATGTTAGGACCAAGATATGACAGTCAAGTTGCAGAAGAAAATCGCTTCCATCCCAGTATGCTTTCAAATTATCTAAAGAGTCTAAAGGTAAGAAACAAAATATTTTTCTGGTACTGATTTCTTATATTATATCCCTCTTTTTTCCTTCAAAAAGCATTTCCCCTAAAACTTGTAATTTTGAAAGAATTAATAGACTTACAGGAAATTGCAAATATAGTACTTATAGTTCTGGAGCTCTTTTCCCAGTTTCATAGAACTGTATTGTAATATGAAAACCAGTTAATAAACATTGGCATAGGACTGTTAACTACCTTAATTTTGCTTATAATAAACCCACACAAATAACTAAAACATGATCTTATACACATAAAACATGGCTACCTGCATAGGAAACTAGTGGGGATGTGCTTTTTACAAAAAACAAACAAGCAAAACAAAACACAACCCACAGCCTAATACTCTTTATTTATGTAAAAATATGAATATGCTAGATCGCAGACTTTATTTTGTTTTTATCAGATTTTATGTGTTTGTTCATGTGTGTATGGTGGTGGTTACAGAACTGTTCCATTCCCATAAAGGAACTCCCTCATTTTACAGTCATGCCCTCTTTCCATTCCCATCTGTTCTCCATCTCTATAGTTTTCTCATTTCAAGAATGCTGTATAAATAGAATCATATAGTATGGGACCTTTTATGGTTGACTTTTTTCACTAAGCATAATGCCCTTGAGGTCCAGCCAAGCTGTTGCATGTATCATAGTTCATTTCCTTTTATTGCTGAATAGTATTCAAGTGTGTGGAGGTCATATTTTGTTTAACCATTTTCCCATTGCAGGACATTTGAATTGTTTCTGGTTTTGGTATATTTTGTATAAAGCTGCTGTGAACCTTCATGTATAGGTTTTTGTTTGAACATAAGTTGTTATTTTTCTGGGATAGATAAATGCCCAAGAGTGTAAATACAGGGTCATATGGTAAATAAATATTTAGTGTTACGAAGTATTATTTTCTAGATAAATACATATATTTTCCCATCAGGTAGGTTTTTAAGAGTAAATTAAAGTATTTTTTACATTATTCTGGCAAAATAATGATTGCATTGGTTTCCTGTGACTGGCATACAAATTACCATAATCTGGGTGGCTTAAAAAACCAGAAAGTTATTTTCCAAATTCTAAACGGTTATTTGAAATCAAGGTGTTGGCAAGATTGGTTCCTTTTACAGGTCCTGGGGAAGAACCTGCTCCACGTCTCTTTCTCGTCTTCTGGTGGTTGCCAGCAGTTGTTGGTGTTTTTTAGCTTGCAGCTGTATTACTCCATTCTCTGCCTATGGCTCATGTCGCATTATCCCTGTATGACTGTATATAGATTTTCCTCTTCTTATGTAGACAGTAGTCAATTGGATTAGGGCCTAATCTAAGTTGACTTCATTTTAACTTGATTACATCTGCATAGACCTTATTTGGAAATAAGGTCATATTCACATTTACCACAGGTTAGGATTTGAACATAACTTTTTTGGGGACACAGTTCAACCCACAACACTGAGCTGTTATATTATTGTTATTTTTTTAATGTGTTCTTGATACATTACCATGGACCCTGTTGTGGTGCTGTAGGATAAGCACTGGACTGCTAACAGCAAGGTTAGCAGTTCAAATCCACCAGCTACTCTACATAAACCTATACAGGGTTACTATGAGTCAGAATCGACTCGATGGCACATAATAACAACAACAAATACTGCCATATTTTTGAATGCTATATGACCATATTTTGCTATACATGTAAATAACATGCCCATGCATATAGAATACATAGTATTTGTAGGAAATTAAAGCAAGGAAGAAGCTGCATAGTTTGCAAAAAATTCCCAAGCAAAACCATATAACACACACATTGTTTGTGTAAAAGTACAGTGTTTTCCCTACAGGACACTACTACTATATTAAATATATATCGTTGTTGTTTCTTGCTATCTAATCAGTTACCTGCTCATAGCAAACTTAGGTACAACAGAATGAAACACTGCCTTGATTTGCACCAGCCTCAGAATTATGCTACACTTGAGCTCTTTGCTGCTGCCACTGTGCTAGTCCGTCTAGTTGGGGGTCTTAGTGCCTGTTAAGTACAAGGGGAGGCTTCAAAATATTCATGGAGAAATTCTGTTTGTTCATGGACATTTTGTAGATCTATCATATAAAGTTCATATCATGGGATAGAAAAGTAACTTTTCCATGGAACAGCTGGTGAGTTTGAACTGCGAACCTTGTGGTTTGCAGTCCAGTGCTGATCCTATAGCACCATACCAGGATTCCCTTGCTTACTTATAGACCTTTTCATTTTCATTATCACTAATTAAATATGTTGTAGACATTATGCTGAAAGATTGGGTGTAGAAACCAGGTAGCGTGGGTTTGAATCTCAGTTTGCCAATTAAAGTTTTATGGGCAAGTTACATAGTCTCTTTATGTTTCAGATTTCTGAACTGTAAAAAATTAATGCATGTAAATAAAGCACTTAGAGCAGTGCTTAACATAGAATAACAGCTTAGTTTAAACCACAAAATAACCTTATGAAGTAGATAGATATTGTTATCCTTATTTCATGGATTGGGATTATATATTATAAAAATAAATATGTATATGTAATGTATGTGGGAGTCCTGGTGTGGTGCTGCAGGATAATATGCTGGTCGGCATATTATCACTGTGTGTCAGAACTGACGCAATGGCACTTAACAGCAATAACATATGTGTATATGTACAGATACATTCACATGCAGCACATCACACCCATGTGCATGTACAGTATTTGGGGGGAGTTACATTACACAAGGCAGTTTGTTTCTTTTTTTGTAATATTTTATTGTAAATTATGCAATAGTTTACATGGGAGAACATTAGTGTTACATTCAGTCTATCATATATCATTTCATTGCCGTGGTTACAATCCCCTTCATGCATCATCAAACAACCAAAGGGTATACCCTGCAAGCCTGCCTCCAGGTCCTCAGCACACAGCTCATCTCCCTTTCTGGATCTAAATACCGCAGCTGCTCCATTTCTCCACGTCATCGTCTCTGCCTTCATCTCTGGCATGACTGCTTCTCTGAGTAGGGTCCCACTCTGCTCTTCTCCCCTCCTTTTTTTTTTTTTTTTCTTTTACATTTAATAAATATTTATTAGCACCTATGACCAAGGCACAATGGGGGTAGAAGATCTCAGGAATCTGACAGTCAAGGACAACTCATTATAGACAAAATGAATGTTCAGAGGAGCAGCCCATAATCATAGCTCTCCACTCAGGCAGTGTGATAAAGTACTGGCTAAGGGTGACTAGCCAGTCTGGAAGCCCATTTAAACTTGATGTGTAAGAACTAACCATTTTAGGTTCATCTTCCTCTCAACTTCCACAGATTCCTATCAAACAAGTTGTTTTTCCAGTCACCTTCTAAAATCTGAAAGATTATTAATCTCAGCCAGACTCCATATTTTCTAACACCTGATGGTGTTTAGTGCTGAATAAAAGCTCCTCAATAGTTTTTACAGTTATGAGGGACTCCAGAGAGGCTTCAGTACCATTAGGAATTAGTTCCACCTTTGGCACTTACAACATGGATCACTATGACAGAATTTTTTTCCCAACATGGCTTCTCTGATGTTGAAAAAGATATGAAGTTCGGGTGAAGTCTTTTCCGCATGCATCATACTAATAGGGTTTCTCACCAGTGTGAATTTTCTGATGTTCAATAAGGCTTCTATTTTGAGTAAAGCTTCTGCCACACTCATTACATTGATAAGATATGGAAGCTTCAACATTTTCCCATTGGTTTTCCATTCTAACCTGGCCTTCCCAGTTCTCTCTACGTTCAGAATCCTGAATGTTTTTGTCCCCACCATGGATCCTCTGATGTCTCAGGAGATGTGAACTCCTCCTGAAGGCTTTTCCACACATATTGCACTGGTAGGGCTTCTCCCCAGTGTGGATTTTGTGATGTTCAAGGAGGCTGCAGCTCTGACTGAAGGTCTTCCCACAGTCGTCACACTCATAGGGCTTCTCCCCCATGTGGGTTCTCTGGTGTTTGATAAGGTTTGAACTGTGACTGAAGACATCGCCACATTCTTCACACTCATAGGGCTTCTCACCAGTGTGAACTCGCTGATGAATGACGAGGGCAGAGCTCCTGATGAAGGGCTTGCCACAATCTTCACATTCATAGGGCTTCTCTCCAGTGTGGATCCTTCTGTGCTTAGTCAAGCCTGAACTCTGAGCAAAACTCTTTCCACATTCTTGGCAGTAGTGTCGCCTACTTCCTGTGGCAATTTTTTGCCTTCTGTGTAACCTGCCCTCCTGTCCGCTAGCTTCTGCACATGGGGGAATGTGGGCAATATCTTCACCCAGGTATTATGGGCTCTCCCCAGGTGGTTGTACTAGATGCTCCTCATCAGGAGACAAGTCCCTGATCTTAGTCTGTATTTCACCACCCAAGATGAGGTTGCCACTGTTCTCTTGTCTCTCATCTAAGTAGAGGTTTGCTTGAGATGAGTCCAGCTGTGCCCATGCAGGGGCACTCCCTTCCTTTTGCTACAAAATGTCTACCTTTACATTTCCAACCCTCACAGTCAGTCCTGATAACAGTTATTCAATCTTGTATCACAAGAGACCTATCTTCATCTCCTTTCATCAGCCCTGCCCAGACAGATTGGATACTACTCAGTGGAGATTCTACCTTCCTCTACGACCTCTGGATCTAGACTCCCTCTTGAAAGCTTGTAAGCCAGTTACTTCTTGCCTTTGTAGCACCCCTATTTTGGGTAGCCAAAGTCCAAGTTGCCCATTCCTGTCTACTCTGTGTATGGAGGGGGTGGGAATGATCCTCACTATAAAGATTTATTTCCTCTTTTGAGCTACTGCATCCATAGTTGTAGGTCAAGTTCATCAAATTGTATCAGATTACTTTTTTTTCCCCTCTTCTTTCTTCTTCTAGTTGAACTCTGATCATCCAGTCATTGAAGCCAGGTCAAGTGGGTATTATCTACAAGTGTGGGTGTTCTTATGCATATGCCCTGTCTTCTTATCAGC